GCATGCTATGCGTAGGAGGCCTCATGTTCCTTCGCAGCATCCGCAGAGCCAGGAAACAAGCCGAGACAGACCCAGAACTCCCAGTCTACGAGAAGCGCCAATCAAACATCAACCGCCTGACCATCACTGCGATGCCCTACAAAGGCCGCGAGTCCGTCATCACCTACTCGGAAAAGCAGAACCTCATGGACAGCCCTACCAGCCCGGTACCCGAGATCCGCATCACTTTCCCTGACGAGATCGACGAGTCTGGCAAGCAACAATCGGGTCGTGTTGTGGTTGTCCGTGTCGGAGACCACAGCGTTGGACTCGAGCCTGTGCAAGAGGACCTCCCGCCATACCAACAAGACGCATCGGACCGCTTCGACTCGCTCGACCTGGATCGCATGGGCGGACTGAAGGAGAAGGACGACAAATACTACTCATAAACCTCACGACACCACACGTCAAAACCCGGCTAGACCGCCGATACTTCCGGTCGAGCACCCCTCGGGCACCCACCAGCCATTTGGCTACGACCGACTTTACACCTTGATGACGGCTATACCACGCTGACTGTCAGCTTCTCCGTTCCCTGCCGAAGCTGTGGAATAGCCGGCAGGGCGCCACACTACTTATGTATATTCTCGGAGTTGACTGGCCATTTTGCTGTATACCCACTCTGACGACTGGCCATCTCTTCAACGAGGTTTTCATACCTCTTACATAACTCTTATTCATTAATGTATGATATCCAACTCACTCTCTAGCGACTGTGCAGAGCAGCACGAGAGCCAATACAATCCTTTGTCAAGACTGAAATGTGTGCCCAATTTACCAAGACCGAGTGAATGCTGTGCGCGATGTTACCTTTGGGCAGTTTCCAAGTCGCGTCTGGAACATGATGTCAAGCTTCGTATCCATCGATAGCAGATCGTAAGCACCGCTCGTAATTACGGCGCGTACCTCGATGGCGGATGCATGACATCGGCGGCTCGGCGAAATGGGAGATCCACAGTGGATGCTTGCGACACATCCTCACTTTTGCTTAAACCACGCATCAACTTTGTCCCCATGGATTCTGTCGCTCCTTGAGGCCCCCTAAGCCATCCGAATACCAATAGACATCTGATTGGCATCTACTGAGAGCCAATTGGTCCGCCTTCTCCGCCCGCCATGGAGAACGAGGTCTTTACGCCGCTGTCCGACATTACCGGCCAGAGCAGCGCACGCAAAGCTGTCAAGTTTGCGGCCGATACGCCAGAGCCACGTGAGACAGTGCGAGCTCCCCGGAGACAGGTTCACGACCCCGACAAAGCGAAGAAGGTTGGACAGGTGCACTTCAAAGCGCAGCATGGCATCATCATCGCCTTCTTTACCTTTATACTGTAGGCTCTCTCATCAGAGCCCGTCTTCCGGCTCCGCGTACAGACGCGCAAAGCTGACTTGGCCAGAATTCTTCACGTCCTCGGTATCTACCTTTTCACCAGCGGCTTCCTCCTTACGCGATTGGTCCTCGACCACAAGTCAGAATGCGCCCTGCCCCCAATCGACTCTGCCAGCGCGTACACAGCGGGCGATGCTGAAAAGGGGTGCTGGCACCCCAAGACGTTCAACAAAGCCGTCGTCATCATTGTTGATGCGCTACGATACGATTTCACAGTCCCCTTTCCAGAGCAGTTCGAGCCCATCGACCTCGCCGTCGCCGCCGAAAACCCGTCTCAAGCGCCCCCAGTCGCTCCGCGCCATTTCCACAATGCATTCCCGGTACTTTACGAGACGGCAAAGAATCAGCCTCAGAATGCCTTCCTCCTACCCTTCATCGCCGACCCGCCGACGGCCACGATGCAGAGGCTGAAAGGGCTCACGACGGGCACATTGCCCACCTTCATCGACGTGGGCAGCAACTTCGCTGGCCAGGAGATTGAGGAAGACAATCTGGTCGGACAAATGAAGAACGCAAGCAAGAGGATGGTTCATCTTGGCGACGACACATGGCACGCTCTCTTCCCCAACTACTTTGAGCCAAACCTCACGCATGCATACGATTCGTTCAATGTTTGGGACCTACACACTGTTGACAATGGCGTCACGGAGCACATCTTCCCGCTTCTGAAGGCTGAGAACGCCACCAAGTGGGATGTGATCTTCGGCCACTACCTGGGCGTGGACCATGCGGGACACCGCTATGGGCCCGATCACCCTGCTATGACTGCGAAACTCAACCAGATGGACGAAGTTTTTCGCCGCATGATTGAGGAGATTGACGACGACACACTGCTAGTTGTTATGGGAGACCACGGCATGGATGGAAAGGGCGACCATGGAGGAGAGTCGGACGACGAGATACAGGCGGCGCTATGGATGTACTCGAAGAAGGGTGTGTTTGGGCGCAGCGATTCTGCTTATATCACACCTCCTTCTAACGCAAAGACCCGACCAGTTGGGCAGATCGATCTTGTCCCTACTCTGTCGCTTCTCCTGGGCTTGCCGATACCCTTCAACAACCTCGGAAAGCCCATCGAAGAAGCATTCATCGGCAAGAACGGCGATGATTACAAGAACTTGGCGGCCGTCAACCGTCTGACAGCCGCGCAGATACACAACTACCAGCATGAATATGCCAAGGTTCGTGGTATCGCAGACAGCGCCAGGGCTTCTTCGCTTTCGCTGTGGAAGAACGCAAATGACGCGTGGAACCCGCTAGGAAAGTCCAAGACCAATAGCGCCGAGATGCGCCAGGCATATGAGGCTTTCGGTGCTTATCAGCGCGACACGCTCCGTCTTTGCCGTGATCTTTGGGCTCGGTTTGACATTCCCAGGATGGTCAGTGGTGTCGTGATCTTGGCCGCAAGTCTGATTGTAGTCGCTCTTTACGCCAGGATCCTTCACGGGGACCGTGCAGATGTCACCCCCGTCTTCTTCACCCGAGGTGCCATTGGTTTGGTCCTTGGAGGTATCGTCGGTCTTCCTATTACCATCTTCATGCCTGAAGACTCCAGATCGCATATTCTTGTCCTCTCCTCTGCCCTTACCGGGATCATCGGCTGCGCCTCAACTTTCTACGCCCTGAGCTACCGTATGATGCCCCCAATGCCAAACAACATCTGGGGCTGGACGAGCGCCATCTTCACTCTCGCCCTCTCCGGGGGCTTTGCAGCAAACTCATTTACTATCTGGGAAGATGAGATCCTCTTACATTTCCTAACTACATTTGGAGTCCTTGCACTCATTTCTTCTTTCCGCCAGAGGAGAATCGCAGATCGAACCCTTGGTGCTTACCACTCCATCCTCTTCACCGTGTTGCTTAGAATCGCCAGTTTCTCTCGCCTATGCCGAGAAGAACAGATGCCCTACTGCAAATCCACATATTACGGCTCTGCCCTATCAACAACTTCCGCACCCTGGCAACTTGCCATCCCAGCCACAGCTGCCATCCTCATCCCCACATTCATCAAGAGCTACTACGACGGCACGAAATCCTATCAGCACAACGCCACTCTCTGGATCGGCCTCGCATTGCGCTTCGGCTTGATGCTGTCTGCCGCATACTGGACTCTCGATGCTGCTGACGACGGCGAGTGGGCGCCCGCTTGGTCAAACATCATCGGTATCACGAAACGCTTCATTGCACAGATTGTGCTAGCAATTGCTCTCGCGTTTGGCTACTCCATCTACAATTGGTCGAAACCTCTCCTGAACGTCATCATTGATAAAGATGGCAGCGGCGTTGATGAAAACGGTCAACCCAAAGAAGCCGTCACCATTCTTGGTTTCGCAAATGTGCACGGGAGTCGATACGCACTGTTGATCACCATCTGGTATCTCGCCATCACTGTGCTCCAAAAGCCAATGGGCGCTGGCGCAATCGGAATACTGGTCTGGCAGCTGTTTTCGCTTTTCGAAATCATTGATACTAACAACCTACGTCAATCCGCCATCGGCCCTGTCGTTTTGGGTCTGTTGGGTTCCTTCCACTTTTTCAAAACAGGACACCAGGCTACCTTGTCTAGTATCCAGTGGGAATCCGCCTTCATCCCCTTGGCCAAGATCCGTTACCCTTGGACACCCATCATTGTTCTGCTGAATACATTTGGTGCCCAGATCCTGTGCGCCATTGCTGTCCCAGCGTGCGTGCTTTGGAAGGTCAAGCCGCAGAAGAAGGGCGTTTTGTCCGTCGTCACAAAAGCTGTGGCGACTCATATTTTGTTTTATGCGACGACGCAGCTTGCGACGACCATGTGGGCGGGCCATTTGAGAAGGCATTTGATGCTTTATAGGATCTTCTGCCCGAGGTTCATGGTTGGGGCTGCGGTGCTGCTGACGGTGGATGTTGTGTCTATTGTTATCGCGTTGTGGGGGACTAGGATGAGCATGTTGAGTACGGCTGAGGTTTTTGGTTTTGGTGGATGATCGGTTGGGAAGAATAGTTGGGAGCGGCTGGAAGGTGGAACAAGAAGAAAGAGAGGTGGTGTAGGTGGTTGTAGATTTTGCATTGCATATAGCGTTTTCTTTCATCTCCTTGCGTCGGAAGTCAAGAAGCACGCCTAGAATCAGATCTTGTGGCTTCGTTCCCTGTGTTTTTCTAAACACCATCTCTGGTTGTTGTGGTTCTTGTCTTGGTGCACGTCGTTTACATCCATGACTGGTACCTGCCGGGCTCAAACGGACCAGATTAGTCAAGATTGGCCCAGCTCTGCGTTGGTCTCTCACCTCTTACTTCTTGCTATCCTATCGGCATTGTGTTGCTGCCTATGTCCTCTCTTATGTCACACGTAGCGGTATCGCAACAGCGCAAGGTAAAGGTAAAGGTAAAGACAGCCGTTTCCGGTCGCTCCTGCTATATTAATGATCTCTTCTCAGCTTGATCTCCGTCTCTCTTCCACCTCACTTCGAAAGTGTAGAGCAGGAAATTACTGCCACAGAGTGTACGAAAATATACATGAGCGACCCTCAACAGAACACTTATAAGTCTTGGTCGATACTGTCAGCGTCTCACGGAAGCAGCTACAGACGCCACTATGGCATCGACTCAGAATCAACGCGTGGAAAAGAAGATCTACGGTATCTTCATAGCAGAAGATCTCATCGATGACTCGACTGGCATCATTCCGATGAGAGGATTAAAGTCACCACTTAGCCTCAAAGATCGTTTCGCGAGGCGACTGTCGAAGATGCTGGATGCCGAGATGGACATACAACAGACAGACAACGGCAACGCGATGAAGATATTTCTCACGCGTAATCGAACAATTTCTCGAGTACGCGTTGGCCTGGATAATGAACTCCGCAAGTTCATGCGAGCCACGAAAGACGCGTTGAAATCGATTGCGAAGAACGCCGATGGTATGTTGAATCCAATTTCTTGAAATCATCACTAACATGTTCAGGTCCGCAGCATGTACTTCAGATCGCGTGCGATGACCTCTGGGACATGATCCTTATCTTCAACCGCAGTAAGATCGAAACGATCATTCAAAAGCTGCAGAAGACCTTGCAAGATTACCAGGAAACATTCGACGACCTCGTGACGAGGATGTTTGGCATTGATGATCCCGAATACAAAGACCAGCTATTGGATCGTGAGCTTGGCGATCGTATCATCTCACTCTCGCAACGAATCAACAGCTATGACCGTTCGATGAAGGAATTGAATGCGCTTGTACATCTCGCATCAGAAACGACAAGAGTGCTTCTACATCTGCAGGAACGGTTAAGGTCCATTCTCGAGAAGACACGGCTTGCCGATAAGTTATACGAGCTTATCTGCGCATTGGGGTTTCCCGAGCGAGTGCACAGTACTATGGTGAGGTCAGCTAGAGCCTCACAATCATTCGAGAACGTCAAGTTCCATTTGAGATCCAGCTCTCCAGGCAAGACTGTTTCCTTCGCGATCCCAATAGAGAGCTCGACGCAACCAAACGCAAAAAAACCCTTATTACCTCAACGACAAGAGAAGCCCAAACGTCGTTGTTATATCGAAAACAAGATTACAATGCCAGCAATAACTCCTACTCTTCACTTTCATCATCCTCAGCCAGCAATCTCTAGTCTCGGCCCTTTGATGACTGCCGTTCAGGTTTATCTTGCTCGAGAAGACAAAGGCCTCGCCCTTGTTCGCCTACAGCCTGCCACCAAGCAAGAGACCACACAACTTATCGGAACTATTTTACAAGGGAAGCTCCTCCCTATGCGTGCTAGCGCATGGTATGCCTTTGGATTCGTTACAACCAAAGATAAAGACCAAGAACAGCGGTTATCGGGCCTGTACAAGGCTCTACTACGCGAAGCAGACAATTCCGGAGTAATTTTCCATGAGCTGCAGACCGCCTTGGAGAAAAACACACTCGTCACACTCTTTGACAAGCACGGGTATGGACACTTCCGCCAGCTGTTCCCGTGTCTAGAGAGCTTCCTTACAACAACACCTCAGCAGCGCAGCACTGTCTGGCGACTCAGGCAGTTCTTGAAAGACCCCACCGATGATGAGCCTCCGGCCTGCCTACAGCGCGATTACGGCTTCAGATACTGCCGTCAGCGCGAGGAGGTGCTTCATCTTAAGGGGATCTATACTCACATGCTTCGCAAACTAGGTCCAAAGGATCTGCATACCGCTTGTATTCATGGTCGGCTTTTTGAGACGGCAGTGAAAGAGGGAGTGGAGATTGATTCGAAGGACAAGCGTTTCCTGAACAGTGATTATGGTTCCCCGTTCCTAGGGCTGGACAACGAGGGTGGGCTTGAGGTCTATCGTGGGCCTTTCTACCGAAGGAAATTAAAACTCTAGGTGAGACAGGCGGTTGACGTGTGGAGTGCGTGACCGAGGACTCTTGGAGATTCGCCTGATGAGCTTCCGGCGAAGAGCGTCGAGCACTCTTCGTATCCATGGCACAACTGTGCAGCATGCTGGACGCCGTGCGCATGGTAGGTTGGCCTTGGTTTTGGGCATACATGCTGCATTTTGGATTTACGGACGTCACTTGTGGCTTTTTTGCGAATGCGATTCTTATCAAAAGGCGGTGCGACATACTCTATGGCGAGACAACGGCATGGACATGCTTTTGAGCGATTTTTGTCTGGTTCTACCACTTTGTGTCTTTTCTCTCTCTCAAAAGTCCGGTTTGCAAACTAGTATGAAGCATTTGGGTCACTTGTGGGACCAGAATCGAAACTGTGGAAGCATGTAGTGTAATGCGTTCCATATACACTGTCTCTCGAACTCTTCCTGACGACTTTGACACCCGTAGCCCAACCAAACAAATCTTTTTTCATTCTCCTCCTATCCATGCACCTCCAACTTCCACGCGTCATCACCAATCCTTGTTACAGCGGAGTACACGTGACACTCAAGCCAAAGAAAGTATATATAAGATCCTCTTCTACACGCTACCTTCTTCTCCATCATATATCCATCTGCAAGATATTTCTCGAAAACAAAGCTCTTGTAGAAGTGGTCATGAAGATATTCTGAAAAGTACCGGATTTCCGTGATATGTGTCTCCCAGTCCTTTTCTTTTTCTCCAAAAATATCGATGGAAGAGTACATGTGAAGAGTAGAAACTGCATCCGCAGAACACGCATGCTAAAACGGGCACGCAAGAGAAACTTGAATCCGATCGAACAAACAAGAAAAAATCAGACTGGCCGCGGGCATACCTTGAGAAGCCCAAACCACGCAGATAAACCAGCCATGTCGTCCCTCGGTCCTCTCCAACCTTCTTATACCTCAAGCTTGCGACCGTTCTCATCATCTTTCTTCCTTCTATACGAGGCTCACATACCAAAAAATGACTACCACGACTTTATGCCTTGCTGGCCTGGGCCACCAAAAAACCTGAGTGCCCTTCACATGGCGTTCGCTCCCTCCTGTTCCACGGCGTCAAAACAAAGACATTACTTTGCGATGTCTTTGTGTGAAAGAGAATCACAGACATATCATTCTGTGTGGCTTTGATTGTGCGTTTGCTGGGATGCAAGTTCCGAAACTTGAGAGAAGAGACTATCATAGGGTTCGTCTACTGTGCGGGCTGCGTGGCTAGTTCTAGTATGCATGCTGGACGCATAAAACTTGGCTCAAGCGCGTGCGAGGTTCGTCACCCTACATGCTTGTCTCTTCTCTTCTATCAAAAGCGCAGCGAAGCATTCGCATGTTTGAATGCCAGATCATATCAACTCTACATCATGGCGCGCGTCTTCCCCGGACCAAATCAGTAATCGTACCATTCGATGTTGGTTCCAAAGAGATGAGGAAACGTGCCATTCGTGCGCCACTGAGCCCCAGTAATGACATCGATACAAAAATCCAAAAGTGACGACTGCTGTTCTCATGCACGTTGCGACCGAGTTGTACCTATACGCGACGGCAAGAGAAGACGACCCTCATCTGTACGGTGTAAATTCTTGTATAAAAGTCTTCATTCTGTACGCGTCCCTGCTTTCTCATGCTCATGACGCAGCTATGGGAGACTAAAATGGACTTTGCCTTGATGACATGTCGTGGCTCAAAAGCTGAACACAGATACTGTATGGTTGTGTACACTCGTCGCTCTTCTCGCGCATTCCAAAAAAAAAAGTGATATGACGATGCTATGGTGGAGTCGGCGCGTGCCTGTTAAGAAATCAGTCTATGAGATCGTGTTTGGTGGTCCGGTGTAGTGGCTATTGCTGCCTCGTGTTTTGGTCGCAGGGCGGCTTCAAATTACTTCAAGTTCGTGCTCGTACACCGCTATCCGTGGCACGGATTGACGGGTACAAGTGGTGTGACAAGACCACCTCGTTCCGCTATTTTCAAAAGAATTTGTTGACCACTGATGTGGTGCTCTTCAGTAGGTGTTGTTGACGCGTGAGGTACGCGCCTGGAGTGGTGATGATCGACATCATGATGTCAATCTGATGACGTAAAAATCTTAGAGTGGAAGTGACGCGTATCGATCGTTATTCTCTCATCCATTGTCGAGGCGAGCATCTTCCGACACATTGTTCGTGGTGATGCAGGCTGGTACCTTTCCAGTGTTTGTCACGATTTCGATGACATCGAGCAACACCTCGGTACATACAACAACGCGAAGCTCTACGCTCTTTGACTCATCATCCATCTCGAAGCACACTTCCACCAGTTCTCGTCCACTTTCCATACATAGCCTCAGCACTCAGTCACGCCTGCACATGCACGTTTGGTTCTTCATTTGTAGATTCAATCTTTCTATTCGGCTATGTACACTTACGCTACAACCAACTATGCCATTAACCTTGCTTTTATAAACACTTTTACTGTAAAAGAACTCGCATCTATAACCATCGCAAAACATCTACTCATATCAGAACATCCAAGCTATGAACAAAGAAGACTCGCTAGCGAATCGAGACTGAGCCAGAGTGAATACTACAAAGAAAGAATGAAGAGACAACGACCTGCCGTGTTCGCTCGTAGAACATTCACAAATCATCGAAAAACCGACAATACAGGCACCGCCAGAGGTCTGCAATAACCTGCTGACAAACTCCGAATTCATGTGTCAGGCACCGCGCATCTTCCTGTTTAATTTACTTCTTCTTAGGTCTCTTACCCTTATCTTCCTTTTGGCCGGAGATTGATGCAGTACTTTTGAGAGATTTCTTACCCTTGTCTTCCCTTATGCTGGAACTCGATGCAGAACTTCCGGTTGGACTCTTCGACGCAGCAACCGTCTTCTGGCTTGCAGAAGTCTTTCCTGCAGTAGTAGGAGCCTTTCCTGCAGTAGTAGGAGCCTTTCCTGCAGTAGTAGAGGCCTTTCCTGCAGTAGTAGAGGCCTTTCCTGCAGTAGTATGCTTTGAGGGGCCTATATGTTGGGTATGCGAGGCTGGGACGGGCTGAGGCGCATCAGTTGAGCGAGGTGGCGTATGCGTTGATGCCGCCGAGAAGTCAAAAACATCTGCCATAAAAGCACCACCGTCACCTGATCCCCTAGAACTTGCCTTCGATGCGGAACGACTACGTCGTTCGTCCCCCGTATCGCGACGGGCGGGGGACTGATTTGCAACTTGGGGTGAACTGCCGCCAGAACGGGGTGCTGGAGACTGCTCCCTAGAACGCATAGGGCTAGGGTCTGCGTACAGATCATCGTTGTCATAACGATCAAATACCCAATCGTGGGTGGTGGGATTTAAAGCATAATATTGTTGATCGTCATTTAGAGATAGTCTGCTTGCTGATAATGATGGGCTATTTATGATGGGTGGAGTCCTTGGGGGGTTGGAACCACCCGGGCTCTTGGTGATGGGTGGAGTGTTTGGGGGATTGGAACTACCAGGGCTGTCGTAACCTGGTGGATATGCTTTTACCGTCGGATGATTGTTGGGATTAATGAATTTGACTGGACGAATTGAATAACCTTCCCGCCGACCGTTGTGAGCGACTGTGAAGGATTTAAAATTGTCCGGAATTAAAACTGGTCCAAGTTGTTTCCTGGTTCGACGCAGGATCTCATCGTAGTTTTCTTGTACCCAGGGCATCCTCCTGCCATCAGCTGTTATCCCCTTGACATTATCGTCCTCTCTCAATGCCTCCGCCGCGTAAGATTCTATAAAGCTTGCTCTCTCTTCTGCTTTCCGCCATATATTCTGATCGGCAATTTCGTTGGCTAATTTGCGATACCGATTTCTTTTAGCCCACTCTGGACCTTTGTCTATCTTCTTAGAACTTCCACCTTTATCAATTTTTTTGCATTGTTCACAACCAGACACTATCTCGGTGGTGCCAGGTCTGACATCAAGTGAACTGTCGGGTTTTGTTCTATCGCTGCATCTTCCCCGACCATGGTCACACATTCTTCTTGCCTCTACGTGCTTGCGGGGGCACCGAAACCACTGCATATAGCACATCTTAGTTGTTGATCAATACAAGAGTTCGAGGGAACAGATCTATAGCTGGGGGCAATCGAATGATGAATGAGTATAGTCGTCTGTTGAGGGACCTGTAGTGAAGTCTTCGTATTTGGATATTCGAGGGCTGAATTAGGTCGGATTTGTACGCTTAGGCTACTGACCAGCAGTAATTTAATTGAGTATCAATGTGTTAGTAAATGAGGAAGCTTGTTGTTGTTGTCGTTGTCGTGTACACAAAAAAGGGTGCAGCAGGTCAAGGTATATATACTCGGTCATAACTAACAGACCGAGCTTTCGTCAATCTCTGAGTGTGACTTGGTAAACGTAAATCTATAGACGTGACTCGATATGTAACAAGGTCCGCGCTTGAAGGCCTGACAAACCACTTTGAGCCAGTGGATCAATCGCTACCGTTCGCACTGTCATCGTTCTTCACTAGAAATGTACAATCACTTTTATGTTAATGAGGCATGAGGCCTTTTACTTATATTACAGAAGATTAAACTCGATTCAAGTCTCCTCTTCATTGAATATGAATATCGCATAGCATAAGAAGGTCCTATGATGAGATAAGGCTCGCTAATACGACTATTGGCACAAGTCGCGTTAACACGAGACTATCATGTTAGAAGCATGATTCTCGTTGTACAACGAAATTGTAGAGATGATTGTTTTGATTACATACTATATATAGAGTTTTTAGATTTGACAAGGCTGTCTTTTTGGATTTTCGAGTTTGTAAAGAAGCATTATTCACATGGCAACTACAACAGCGAGAAAACATAAAAGGGTGCTAGATCCCCTTATGTAGACCACACTGGAACTGAGTAATATATGTAGATTTGGGGAAGTTCATTGCTAAGAGAAATAGAGGAAGTTCACCTAGCAGTCCGTTTACACCAATGCAACTATATGTCTGAGATGTCTTGCATGTTTCTCCTACGTGCCAGAACCAGGTTTCTTGGTCGGCTTCTTCTTCGAGTCCTGCTTACTGTTCTTCGGTTTGGAACTCGAGGCCGAATCTCCAGTACCACGTCTTGTTGGACCACCGGTAGAAAGACTTGCGGTGGGGTTGCTTACGGTAGTGCGTGCTTCAGTAGAGCGTCTTGGAATTCCGGCTGCTGGAACACTTGTAGTCTGTCTAGTGGCATTCGAAGTAGTCTGCGCGAATCGTCGTGGTTGACCTCCGATTTTTTGCTTTGCGGCACCAGTTGTAGACACACTTGACGTAGCTTTAGCTGCACCAGAGGCCGTATATTTTTTTGATTGCGTTTGATGAGCCTCTACTGCCCGTTGTTTTCCTGCAGCCGCCGTTTTGCCAGAACGGAGTGTTGAAGACTGCTCCCTAGTGTCTCGGGGTGGAGATTCAGCATAAATCTCGTCGTTCCCAGAGCGATTGACTGCCCAGTGGTGGGTAGTGAAATCTTGGTTCATCATATCATAGTATGCTTGGTCATTCGTGATAGGTGGAGTGTTTGGAGGATTGGAACTGCCTGAGCTATTATAACCTGGTGGATATTCTGCTACAGTCGGATATTTGTTAGGATTGATGACTTTTGCTGCCCGTTGCTTCCCTGCAGCCACCGTTGTGTCTCCGGTAGCAGGTAACTTTGAAGTGGTGTAAGGAACTGGCTTGGTAGCTACAGGTGCTTGCTGAGGCTGCAAGTTGCTTTGTATGTACGGCTGTCGTCGTGCAGCTTGCATGCGAGTTCGCATCTCTTCATTGTGCATGCGTTCTGCTTCTTGGTTCCTTTCCACAGTCCGAGCTTGCTCTCGTCGCTTAGTACGATCCGCCTCCCTCGTTAAATGCTCGCCTGGATGGTAGTCATTATCTGAAGAAGAAGAGTCATGTACACGAGCATCTAGGCTTGCATGAGTAGCCTTGGCTTTTCGCTTCGCTTTTCGCTTATCACTTTCTAGTTCCGAAGCACTGGGGCTTTTTTTTTCGGGGGTGCTCATGCCAGAGAAACCAGACCCGCCCTCGCTGTTGTAACCTGGAGGATAACGGTCTGGTATGTCTTCGAGTCTTCTACCCTCCTTGAGATTGATCGTTGTTTGAAAAGTTTTCTTGGCGGCCGAACCCTGAGCATGTGAATCATCAGACCTACTTGCACCACCAAGAGACACACCTTGGGTGGGGCGGCGTTTAAGACCTGGGGGTATTTGATCATCCTTGAATAGTTTTTGTAGATATTTTGCGGCGTGTTCCAATAGATCATGCTGGTCGGATGCTTTCATTTGTGTCCATTTTCCACTTGAGTTTTCGCGCTGCCTACGCTCATTAACCTCTATGGCTTGGTGCTCATACGCTGCTTCAAAGGCGCCTCGGGCTTCGGCGTTTTCCCATGTGTATATATTGGCAGCAGTTACGGCTTGTCGCCTGCTGTCTGCTTTTTTTTGTGCTGCCGTGCGAAGCCTGGTCGAAGACTTTTGCGGAGCTACAGTCGGTTGATGTTCTAAGTTCATTTCTCTCACAGCAGAGATCTTCGCATCTTCCCTTTCCTCTTGCGTCCAGGATTTCGGTACCAGAGTCGTCTTTTCGCCCTGTTCCCATTCTAGGTGCCTGGATCTCCTACCTTCAAATGCTCGTCGTAAGAACAAGGCCATAAACAAGTCCGCATCATTTTCATGGTGCCATTTATATTCAGAGGCGGCTGCACGTGCAGACTTCCTGTAGTGTTCCATTGCTGTTTTTGGGATATCCAAGCATTGTTTACATCCGCTTTCCGGTGATAGTAAAGGCGGCAGTTCTTCGATCTCATTTAGATTGAGGCAAAGATGGGCTTTTTCACAGTATGAAGTGAACGGAGCAAGCTCATGCCCGTTTGGGCATATGTATAACTGTTTTTGACACATATTATTGTGATGTACTGATGTCGGGAGAAGAGACCTTAGATGAGTGTTGATTTGTTGGTTCGAGGCTGGTACGGTTGTTTGACGAACTATCTCTCCGTCGTCCCTTGTATCCAAGTATTCGAGTGCTGTGTTCAACTATACACGTGAGACGGTTTTGTTTAGCAAAGGTACTGGCCAGCAGTCAATGATAGGAGTAATAGTATAATAATCGGTTCAAATAAGGTATTGTTGTTATCGTTGTCGCTATTCTATGGAAGAACGTATCAGAAAAACCCAGATTTTATATATCTTTTGAGCACGTAGAAACTGAAGGTTGGTGAATTTGCGTATGTGAATTGCCCTTGGTCAACGATCTGGCAGTTGACAATTAGCTAGAAAATTGACTGCAATCAAGCGTGAAGCCATCAAATCTCCATAAGAGATGTACTAAGTTTGTTGATGTGTAAACAAACTCGAAGGTATATGTGCGATCGCGCTGCTTGAAGCGTAGATCTCATTGAATCACCATCCTCGCGTACGGTCAACTGGATGTCGTTCGCAAGTCCTCGACTCATTGCGCTAGCGGATTTCGTGGCTCTCGATGACCATTTCCGCTGTTGTCTGCTCTTGGAAGCTCGCCGATAGGAACTTGAGTGACCTACCCACTCTGGTGGGCATGCTCATGGTCGCTTCGGTCGTGTAGGGGGTTAAGAAGCTTGACCCAGTTATCAGTCACTTCCTTGACTACAGTCCTGTCTGACATAGCGCGTAACGGTCCTCTTCATCTTTCAAGCAGTGAAGAACATTGATTGAGTGACTATGATAGTTGTGGGCGCAGTGCCGGTGAGTCTGATGGCGGCAATGGTGGTTGCTTCTAGAGAATTGAAATACTCAGCGACTCAGCGACTGAGGCGTCTTAGATACACTCTAGTCGGTAATTGGTTGGAAATTACAGAACGCAATGATGCGGGTGTATGACTGACCTGAAGCCTTGTATAATCAAGCAGCCAGCAAGCGTGTAATAATGACAGCTCAGCTGATTGCTAACAAAACAAGTGCTTACGACGGTTGACGTGGAAGGGTGGTGTTCCTAATAGCTTAGGCAGACGCGCCAATAGTATACTCCTATCAGTGCTGTAGTAAGCTGGCGGTGCGATGTTAAAAGAGGCAGTGACGATGGGGAGTGATGGTAGCGCGGAGTGAGAAAATTGCGGGCAGTCACAGGATGCCTCCTACCGTCGGAACGTCTCCAAACATCTCACATATCTACAAGCACATTGCGACAACAGAAGTTGAGCAATGATGGGCTAATACGATAATGTATGATTACAAGTATACTACTCATCTGCCAATCTGCTGTTGACACTACCATCGCTGCGAAAGCGGCCAACACTCCAAACTCGCAACCGCCCTATCCTTGAAACCATGGGTCAGACCAGGACACCCAAGCGTACTATCGACGTTAGTACATGCTCAAAGTATCTAGAACAGGACAGAATTACTTATAAAACTTGTTCCCGACACTCAAAACAAACTGCCCACCCTTACATTCGTTTCCCGAGAAAAGGATGCAATAGCCACCTGGATCAGGACCGATCGACTGAGGAAGGGCTCTAGGTGGAGCAAAAGTAATGCATGACGACAAGCCTGGATCAGGAGGTGAGTGCCACTCGCATTTTTCTGTGGCGGTAGGAGTGAAGTTTGGACCTGGACACGTATACACGCCGCCTGGCCGACCAATCTTGGCGTTGCATAGGGGGGACTGTGGATTTCCGTAAGTAACTAATTCGACCTTTGCGCGTGTGAATAGCGAGTTTCCAGTAGCTTCGGAAAGGGCAACGTTGTTGATAGGGGGCGTATCGATGGGAGTAGTAGCGGCGATCGCGAAGAAGACGGTGAGCGGCAGTGTTAGCATTTAATCAAATGTATAGATGTGAGCCCAGACAACCAAAAACGGGCTTTACTATCTACTTGGTGGTCGGCTCTCTGTAATGGCTCGCGTAGTGGTAGAAAATGGTAGAAAGAACTCGTGCAGTCGACGAACCCTGATATACGCCATTCCTGTGCGACAGTCGTGATGGAAGTAGAAGATGTCAGAGTCTTTACATCATCGACTAGAGTACCTTGAATACTATGATACAATTCTTCTGTCTATACAAATCACTGTCACAGAGATGGACGCCGAAGCGGCTTTGAAGTCTTTTAGAGCTGTATACAACTTGTTCGTTGTTAAAGAACCGTCGTATAGTGTGATGACTTACCACTGAGCCGTCTTGCATCCTTCTTCAAGAGATCGCAATAGAGTCACAGCTAAGGACTTCTTCCTGTAATCACTTCCCTACAAAGCAATCCAGTGCATTACTCGTCTAATATTTGATGACTAGGTCTAAGCCAGAACCTAGTCACCGCTTTACCAGTGGCCACTGGCTGAGCTTCAATCGCTAAGGTAGTGTCATCCCCATAACATTCCTCTCAGAAAAGCTTATCCAAACATCTGTTAATCTTTACTCAAAACTTGAACTCCTCATTAGATATGTACAAATCACCTCATCGTCCTGTTTCTATCCAACCCTCGCTTTCTTGCAAACCTTGCTCTACTCGCCGTCATCAGTTTTCATTCTTCACACATTTCATACTCTTCCACCACTCATTCTTCCCACCCATCTTCGAGATACCCGGACACATAAATGTTTGGAACACCCTCTTCTCCCAAATCTGCAAAGGCTCTCCCTTGCAGTCGTTCTCTTTGAACAACATGCAGTAGCCGCCTGGATCGGGACCAATAGAACGGGGCCGTTGGACAATGTCGGCAAAGTCAATACACGATTTCCCTTCGGTGTAGGCTTTGTATTTGCAGTTGCCGAGGAATCCTGTACCGAGACAGTATTTGACACCGCTGTTGCTGTCAATCACTCTGCCTTTACAGTTATCGCTTTCGGTGATTGGAATGTAGGGGCTTAGTGCAAAAGGAGGGCTTGTAAAAGACTTGGCTGTGACGAGACTGGCGAAGACGGTGAGAATGGTGGGAGGGCGCATTGTGTAGTCGTGTTTCAGATTTACTCGTGGCTACTACCAGGACTATGATGCAGATCCTATGGTAATGCGGTGTTGGTATCCGCATGTCTTGTTACTTGTGTTCTTATTGGATTGAGATTGCAGCTAGTGAGAAGGAAGGAACGAACGTGGAGCCAGCTTTAAATACACACCGCGTCGTTTGGATTGTGCAGCGAGTCTACATACGAAATCCAACGTCAAGTACCGTTAAATCAACGCATTACGTTGGGAAATCATGTTCGATGTGATTTGTTCGACTACTCGGATCGTTTGAACGTAGCCGCCTTCAATGTGAAGACGAGAGAAAGCTTAGTGCGACCCACGCACTTCACTAATCACAAGGAGGCAACTTCGAAAGGCATGGATGAAACACAGCCAAGAGTCACATCTGTTTGCGATGTTTCTTATCCCATACTCCAACATGCATCACGCCCATCCATTTCCTCATTGTCTTCACTTTAGAGTGAAGATAGTAAGGAGATACATTACGTGATGGTGGGAGAATTGATGTGCCAAAGCAGTCCCCATGTGTGATTCACATTATACTGGAGAAGAAACAATAAAAGAAATAGCTTGTATTTGACTCATATTTGAGCGGCAAACGTCATTTACATCGTGTGTCAATACCAGAACCCCCGTTCATAAAATAAAACACCATGTACCACCACCCCCTCATTTGAACCGACACTTCATACTAACCCACCACTCAGGCGTTCCCGAATCACTGATACCCGGACACTCCAACCTCTTATCACTTATCCCCTTCCAAATCTGCACCGCCTCTATCCGACACCCCTCCTCCTTGAACAACTCACACCACCCACTCGGATCCGGCCCAATAGACCGCGGCCGCTCCTCTACATTTCCGAAGCTGTAGCACCATTCCGAACCAGGCGTTGTTGGGTAGGCGCGCCACCCGCAGTTGCTCATGTTGTTATAGCCGTTGCAGAAGAAGACGCCGCCGTTTTCTGTGATGGTGGATTGGCAGTTCTGGGGACTGTAGGGGCTTGTGGCGTAGGGGAGGGCGGTGGTGAGGGCGGTGGGCTGAGCTGAGAGGGTGAGGGCAAGGAGGGTGAGTGGTAGCATTTGGAGGAGTGTATCTGTGATGAATACGTGTCAACGCGGTAAGCTAGACTTGTTGTTGCGCGATGAGTGGTAGAGTAAGAAGGAGGGCAACAATATGGATGAGCAATTTATGTGGGCGGGGGGGGGGGGGGGGGGGGGGGGGGGAGGGGGGGAAAGAATGGGGGGATGTGTGAGGGGGGGCGGGGAGGGAAACATCGGTGGAAAATGATCTGTTTTGCGGAAATGTGCAGACCCCGTACTCTATAAACAT